GTAGTTTGCCGTCATGCATGCAGTGCCATCAATGCCATCCATGGCCCACATTCGTCTGACATTATGCATGCCAGGGCCAGCAACACGCCAGCAGTGCCATAATGAGGCCACATCCACAAGTGCGTGAGATATGAGTGAAGACATGCGCGCTTTTCAGTGCAGCAAACTGTTTGCAAGCGTTAAAAGTGTCCAAGAAGATGTTGAAGATCTTCCACGCATTGACCCAGAGACTGTTTAATGATGTCACTGATGAGAAGATGGCGGATGTTTACTGTATGATGACTGAAATGGCCTTGAACACCCAGCAGCACAAGATGTCAGCATGACGTCAGATTGACATTGTACCCTAGTGTCCTGCATTTTATTTGGAAATGAGAATCAGGCTGACGCCAGAACTCAACGTCAGGCCAACGCCAACCTAAAACCAACCAAATATCAACGTGTAATGATGCTACAGCTTGACGCTGTGTGGACGTTACCAATATGACGTCTATCAGATGTTGGATTTTGGTTGTCATAGCTGATGAATAAATGTCAGTATCTGATGTCAGTATGACGCTGGGTTTAGATGTTGACTCGACGTTAGATTTTGATCACTTTCCAACACAACCTAAAATCAACCTAAAATCAACCAAATATCAACGTCACTTCACGATGTTATTGGGCATCAGAATAACGCTGACCTCAGACGCTGACTAGACATTGAATTTTGGTCACCTGACTTCACAACCTAAATCTAACCTGATATTAACGTATGGTGTTGTGTGTCCGCTGAGCAATGACTTAATGCACAACAGAGTTACGTTTACACACACACACATCCACAAATGACATGTAAATGCATCAGTGTTATACAGCATAATACTCACTACTCATTACTCTTGAGCGCACACACACACACACTCAATAACACACATGCACACACTTACCCATATACACACACTAACTCACATACGCAACACCTAAACACACACAACAGACACACACAAAAACACTCAAAAATGCACATCCTCACACTGAGTCACATACACAATACCCAAACACACACACAATAGACACATACACACTCTTAAACACACACACACACACACACACACACAGAAACACTCACACACAACCATTCATAAACACACATATGAAAAATAAACACACAGCCACAATAAAAAACAAACACTCAAAAACACACATGCATACACACACACTCACATACACAATGATAATGTTGTTGTTTGTGTTGTTGTTGTTGTGTTTATCAGCTCTGGAGTCGCGTCTCCTGACACACTCATGTGCGCTAACATCAATAAACAAGTTATAGAAACACTGAACACTTTCTACGCTTTCCTACTGATGTGTGTGTGTGTGTGTGTGTGTGTGTGTGTGTGTGTGTGTGTGTGTGTGTGTGTGTGTGTGTGTGTGCGCGCGTGCTCAGCATCTGCTGTATCTGCAATAATGAAGACCTGCAATATTATATCTTTTATAAACAGTCTGAGTGAACAAGCAATCTGCTGGACAAACAAAGATTGCAGCAACCCTGTGTGTGTGTGTGTGTGTGACTCTCTCTGTGTGTGTGTACGTGTGTGTGTGTGTGTGTGTGTGAGGAATGTTTGAGCTCAGTAAATATGTCAAGGCAAGCATGTACACATGATCAAAGTCTCTGCATCACAAACAGCAGATAATCTGATCAACATGATCAATGATCAATAACACGTCTGCAAACACACACACACACACACGCATTAAACTGCTGCACACTGCTGTATCTGTCGCATGCTGGAGTATATGCTGCTGTGTGTTGTATTGAGTTATTTCTGTATTATAATATTTATGAATATGTATTACATAATATGATGCACTCCTTCATTTTCCTTCAGCTTAGTCACTTTATTAATCCTTGGTCACCACAGTGGAATGAACCGCTAACTATCCCAGCACATGCTTTACTCAGCGGATGCTCTTCCAGCTCCACCGTACCGCATGTATTGGACTTGTGGGGGAAACTGGAGCTATATATTATGATATGTTAATATATAAAGTAAGAATATATGAACACAACGGAGCTTGTTGGCTGAGCGGTGTCCTTAAACACAGTGTTGTGCTTTCACTCTGCCTCAGTGAATGTTCACATGAAGCGACGTCATGTTATTTATTTAATGTTCTTACTTTATTCTCCTTCAGCTCAGTCCCTTATTAATCAAGAGTCCCCACAGCGGAATGAACCGCCAACTATTCCAGCATATGTTTTACATGTCTTCCAGCTGCAACCCAGAACTGGGAAACACCCATACACACACACACACACACACTCATACACTACGGCCAGTGTAGTTGATCAGTTCCCCTATAGCGCATGTGTTTGGACTGTGGGGGAAACCGGAGCACCTGGAGGAAACCAACGCCAACACAGGGAGAACATGCAAACTCCACACAGAAACTGACCCAGCTGAGGCTCGAACCAGCGACCTTCTTGTTGTGAGGCCACAGCGCTAAACACTGCGCCACCACGCCACCCAATGTTGTTACTTAGAATGTTCACAATGTTGTTAGACATTGTAATAATGTTACTTTTAAGTTATAATAAAACATTTTCAGAACGTTTTCGTCTCGTGCTACATTAACGTTCATTCATTCATTCATTTGTTTGTTTATTTATTCTCCTGCACAGGATGTCAACATGACGTCAGATTGACATTACACCCCAAAGTTGTGGCATGTTGCATTCTGTTTGTAATTGAAAATCAGGTTGACAATAGAAACCAACATCAATCTGACGTCAATGTTGAACGTTGCATTTTGGTTACTTTCCAACGCAACCTAACACCAACCATATATCAACGTCTAATAGTGCTACAGCTTGGCGTTGTGTGGATGTTACCAATATGACGTCTATCAGATGTTGGATTTTGGTTGCCATACCTGACGAATAAATATCAGTATCTGACGTCCGTATGACGCTGGGTTAAGATGTTGCCTCGACATTAAATTTTGGTCACTTTCCAACAACCTAAAATCAACCAAATATCAACGTAATTTCAATCCGTTATTGAACATCAGAATAATGTTGTTCTTAGATGATGCTGCCGACTTAAATCTGCCCTAATATTTGCATCTTAGGACATTGTGTGTCTGCTGGGTTATTAATCAGAGGTCACCACAGCGGAATGAACCACCAACTATTTCAGCACATGCTTTACTCAGCGGATGCCCTTCCAGCTTCAACCCAGTACAACTACATTAGTGTTCTCAGAACATCATTTAAATGTGATTAAAACATTCACGACGTATTAGAACACACTTCTGTCAATGTTAAAAGAATGTTGCAAAAATGTTACTTTAATAACGTACATGCTAACATTTGCACAACTTTTTAAGAACGTTATGAAGAACTAGCTAGTTTTAAGACGGTATCTTTTTGAGACTGAGTTTTTAGATTCTTGATTATTTTACTGTTTATTCATTCATTCATTTTCTTTTCGGCTTAGTTCCTTTTGTTAATCAGGCCACAGCTGAATGAACCGCCAATTTATCCAGCATATGCTTTACGCATCGGATGCCCTTCCAACTTCAACCTATTGCTGGGAAACACCCATACACAAACACACTCATACAGTTCGGCCAGTGTAGTTGATCAGTTTCTCTATAGCGCATGTGTTTGGACTGTGGGGGAAACCGGAGCACCTGGAGGAAACCCACACCAACACAGGGAGAACATGCAAACTCCACACAGAAACACCAACTGACCCAGCCGAGGCTCAAACCAGTGACCTTCTTGCTGTGAGGTGAACATGCTACCCACTGCGCCACCATAACGCCTCAGAACATGATTTTAAATGTTATTAGAACATTTACAAAGTATAAGAATGCAATTCTGTCGATGTTAAAAGAATGTTGCAAAAATGTTACTTTAATAACGTTATATGCTAACATTTGTACAACTTTTTAAGAACGTTGTGAAGAACTAGTGCTCAAAACTCATCTTTTTAAGACTGCATTTTTAGATTCTCGATTATTCTACTGTGTTTATATTTGATATTTTTTCAGATTTTATTGCATGCTTAATTTCTCTATTATTGTAGTGCTTTGGGTCTAAGAAAAGCGCATTATAAATGAAATATATTTTCATTATTATGGAATATTCTGAGAACATTCCCTGTTAAAGATGGATTCTATTTCATTATTGTCTATTTTTACTGTGCAGATCAATCCAAAGTGATTTTATATCCACAGAAAGCATCAACACGTGTTTACTTTAATGTGTCAAGTAACTTTAGTGAAAATAAAAAAGTGCGGCACGGTGGCTCAGCAAGAAAGTTACTGGTTTGAGCCTCGGCTGGGTCAGTTGGTGTTTCTGTGTGGAGTTTGCATGTTCTCCCCGTGTTGGTGTGGGTTTTCTCCGGGTGCTCCGGTTTCCCCCACAGTCCAAACACATGCGCTATAGGGGAACTGATCAACTACACTGGCCGTAGTGTATGAGTGTGTGTGTGAATGAGAATGTATGGGTGTTTTCAGTACTGGGTTGCAGCTGGATAGGCATCCGCTGTGTAAAACATATGCTGGAATAGTTAGTGGTTCGTTCCACTGTGGAGACCCCTGACGAATAAAGGACTTAAGCTAAAGGAAATAATAAATGAATGTAATGTGAAAGGATGAAACTATTCTTGTTGTCAAATATAAGATCTAATGTGCTGAAGAATATTGCTGAAGCTCAATCACTACATTAGTGTTTATTAGTGCTCAAACTGTGGTCCTCCAGCAGAGTCTTTAATGATTTCAGCTGTAAATATACGAGTTTTGCGCACAGAAACTAGTGTTGCACGCTGATATCTGAGAGTCTGTTTTCAGTGAATGAGGAGGAAAATTGAGAACAGGCTTTCCTTCTTTTTTTGGCTCAGAAACAGCTGAAGTGAAGAGGATGAAGGGTTTAAAGCGGTACACTGGAGCTGTTTCTGCTGCCGTCAGCGATCAGACGCGTTATTGAACGTCGCCATGATGGTATTGATGCTCCCGGTTTAGAAGATAAACATTAACCAGTTACACACTGAACTAGTAAAGGTTAGAAGGGGCGATCACTTACAGAACCACACACACACACACACACACACACACACACCCCTCCAGCTGTGCTTTAAAAGCGCGTCTCCAGCGGCTCTCCGCGCACTCTCTCTCGGCTCTCCTCAAACTCTCCATCTGCTGTTCCTGAATCAGATCAACATGGCACCAGTCGGATCCAAACGGGTGAGTTTCAGCTAACCACAAACACACACACAGTCATTGCATGCTTTATAAGCGCGTTATTTTCGCGTTAACGGAGAGACGCGCTGGACGCACGAGATCCTGCAAGAGTTTAGTTCAGTCCAGTTATTAATAAACAGCTCGATTGTGCACGCAAACGCACACACACACTAAGAAAAGCATTAAAAGTGTGTTAAATGTGTGTTAGAGTGAATAAAGACTGAGGAAGAGAAAGGCGCACACGGTTCCAACAGCGTTCGTTCGCGTCTCTGCTGCTGTATCAGTGTGTGTTCTGCTGGATTTTGCTTTATATGGCGTGTGTGTGGTGTGTGTGTGGTGTGTGTGTGTGTGTGTTTAGGGAGTTCTGGAGCGCCTGAACGCGGGTGAGGTGGTGATTGGAGACGGAGGGTTCGTGTTCGCTCTGGAGAAGCGCGGGTATGTGAAGGCCGGACCCTGGACACCAGAGGCCGCTGCGGAGCACCCGGAGGCCGGTCAGACACACTGCACTGACACACACACATACTGACATACTAACATACACACAGACAGACATACTAACACATATACTAACACACACACACTAATAGACTGACTGACAAACACACACGAATAGACTGACACACACACACACACACACACAAAATGAAATATTATGTATAACAGCAGTAAATACAGACCAATATGTTACGTTTGCTGTGTGTAATCAGAATATTCATAAAGAAACACACTGTAAAGTTTGTGTAATGTTATGGATGTCTATATTCTGAGCCATAATAGTTTATTAATTCTTTACTTGCATGCAAAGCTGACAGAACCACATGCGATTGACCAATCAGAAGTGATTACACCACTGTCTGGAATAATCGATTTGGATTGGTCAGTTGCGACATTTCAAGGTCTGTTATTCCCAGATAAGCACTAGTGAATAACACACACTCATCCAGGAACTGAGACTCACCATCAGTGAATACCTTCATCCATACACACACACACACACACTCATATCTGTCATTCATTTCATTCTGTCAGCGTTGGATTTAATTAAAGAATTTATACACAATTTCAGCTCAGAGCAATGCTTTGTGTCTAATATTTACGTTTTGTGGCCAGGAGCAGTGTAATAATCAGGATAAAGTACATCCAGACGGTTGTTTTCTCAGAATAAAGCCTTCAGTCTCCACCTGAAGACTTCTTCAGCACTTCACATGTGCTCTTATAAACCTCTCCGGCTTTATTTTGCGATAACAACCTGCTGGATCTACTATATTCCAAACATAATAGAAGTATATACAGACAAAATGTAAAGTCTGGAGACGGTAATGAAGATATTTAAACAGATAAAAGGTTGGTCTGCATGTGCAATAGCAGAATATGCAGTCAAAATGTCAAATTTGGAGCGTGTAATCATCATTTATACATAGTAGTATAGTAGTGTTGTGCCTTCTAGTCTACACTTCATTATTACAGATTACTACTGTAGTATCTTCAGATGTTCAGCATGCCCTGGACTCTTCTTACCATCTCATGTTAGCATATATGTGTGTGTGTGTGTGTGTGTGTGTGTGTGTGTAGTGCGGCAGCTGCACCGGGAGTTCTTGCGCGCTGGCTCAAATGTCATGCAGACGTTCACTTTCTACGCCAGTGACGACAAGCTGGAGAACAGAGGCAACAAACTGAGCTTCACTGTGAGTCTGACACACACACACACACACACACACACACACACACACACACACACACAGTCACTGTCACACTCACATCCTGGCCATGGTGTGCTCATCTCCCTCTGCAGGGCCAGCAGATCAATGAGGCGGCCTGTGACCTGGCCAGAGAAGTGGCCAATGAGGGCGATGCGCTGGTGGCGGGCGGAGTCTCGCAGACGCCTTCATACCTGAGCTGCAAGAGTGAAGAGGAGGTGAAGAAGACCTTCAAGAAACAGCTGGATGTCTTCATCAAGAAGAATGTAGACCTGCTGATCGCTGAGGTAAGAACACACACACACATACACAGAAACATACACACACAAACACATACACACACATACAGACAAAGATAGAAACACACACACTGGGGCCGTCCTGATGCTTCAGTATAGTGATGTGTCCTGATAATACTCCAGTATAGTGATGTGTCCTGATAATGCTCCAGTATAGTGATGTGTCCTGATAATGCTCCAGTATAGTGATGTGTCCTGATAATGCTCCAGTATAGTGATGTGTCCTGATAATGCTCCAGTATAGTGATGTGTCCTGATAATGCTCCAGTATAGTGATGTGTCCTGATAATGCTCCAGTATAGTGATGTGTCCTGATAATGCTCCAGTATAGTGATGTGTCCTGATAATGCTCCAGTATAGTGATGTGTCCTGATAATGCTCCAGTATAGTGATGTGTCCTGATAATACTCCAGTATAGTGATGTGTCCTGATAATGCTCCAGTATAGTGATGTGTCCTGATAATGCTCCAGTATAGTGATGTGTCCTGATAATACTCCAGTATAGTGATGTGTCCTGATAATACTCCAGTATAGTGATGTGTCCTGATAATGCTCCAGTATAGTGATGTGTCCTGATAATGCTCCAGTATAGTGATGTGTCCTGATAATACTCCAGTATAGTGATGTGTCCTTATGCTCCAGTATAGTGATGCTTCCTGATAATACTCCAGTATAGTGATGTGTCCTGATAATGCTCCAGTATAGTGATGTGTCCTGATAATGCTCCAGTATAGTGATGTGTCCTGATAATACTCCAGTATAGTGATGTGTCCTGATAATACTCCAGTATAGTGATGTGTCCTGATAATGCTCCAGTATAGTGATGTGTCCTGATAATGCTCCAGTATAGTGATGTGTCCTGATAATACTCCAGTATAGTGATGTGTCCTTATGCTCCAGTATAGTGATGCTTCCTGATAATACTCCAGTATAGTGATGTGTCCTGATAATGCTCCAGTATAGTGATGTGTCCTGATAATACTCCAGTATAGTGATGTGTCCCACAAGTGCCTGGACAAGCACTATATAAATGTAATGAATTTAATATTATTTTGGATCACAGTACTTTGAGCATGTGGAGGAGGCTGAATGGGCCGTCCAGGTTCTGAAGGCCACAGGAAAGCCTGTAGCAGCGACTCTGTGTATTGGACCTGACGGAGACATGCATGGAGTTACACCTGGAGAGTGTGCCGTCAGACTGGTGAAAGCAGGTGAGTCTTACACACACACCTACAGCTATCTTCATGTGCTCTCAACACTTCATTCTGGCTGATTTTTGAGCAGCTCTCTTGATAAAGATCAAGAAAATGAACACACAAGGTAAAAATTAACTAGTATTGCTATACTTGTGGGGACATTTGGTTCCACAACATTAGGAAAACAAAGTATAAGCACACACACATGCTCTCTCTGTGTTTGGCTGTGTATGTGATCTGTTGTGTGTGTGTGTGTGTGTTTCAGGAGCTGATATTGTGGGTGTGAACTGTCACTTTGACCCCCTGACCTGTGTGAAGACTGTGGTGATGATGAAGGCTGCAGTGGAGAAAGCGGGTCTGAAAGCGCATTATATGACGCAGCCGCTGGCGTACCACACACCCGACTGCAGCTGCCAGGGCTTCATTGACCTGCCCGAGTTCCCATTCGGTACACACATACACAAAATAAACACACACGGACAACACAGAATAACACAAAATACACACAAATTAATCCTTAACCCTACCCCCTCACTCACATACACACATGCACAATACACTCATGCATACACACAAAGACACACACATTAAAACACACACTACCCAAACACATACACACATGCACAACACACAAAGACACACATGCTCACTTACATCCTGATGTGTATGATGTTTTTGCTGCTGATGTTGTTGTGTGTTTCTGATTGTGTTGTTGTGGTTGTGGTTGTCCAGCTCTGGAGCCGCGGATCCTGACGCGCTGGGAGATGCAGCAGTACGCCAGAGAGGCCTATAAAGCTGGAATCCGCTACATCGGTGGCTGCTGCGGGTTCGAGCCGTACCACATCCGCGCTGTAGCTGAAGAGCTGTCGGCCGAGAGAGGATTCCTGCCCGAAGCCTCACAAAAACACGGCCTGTGGGGCAGCGGCCTGGAGATGCACACCAAACCCTGGGTCAGGGCCAGGTGAGAAACCAGACAACAATACAGTCAATACTACTGTGTGTGTGTGTGTGTGTGTGTGTGTGTGTGTGTGTGTGTGTGTGTGTGTGTGTGTGTGTGTGTGTGTGTGTAAAAGTGTTGACGCATAGTGTTTGTGTCTGATGTGTGTGTGTGTTTATGTATAGTGTGTTTCTGATCTGTGTTTGTGTGTTGTGCATTTTTGATGTGTGTCTGTGTGTTTATGTTATTCTGATATGTGTGTGTGTGTGTGTGTGTGTGTGTGTGTGTGTGTGTGTGTGTGTGTGTGTCGATGTATAGCTTCCGTAATTTTTGTGTGTGTGTAAAAGTGTTGACGCATAGTGTTTGTGTCTGATGTGTGTGTGTGTTTATGTATAGTGTGTTTCTGATCTGTGTTTGTGTGTTGTGCATTTTTGATGTGTGTCTGTGTGTTTATGTTATTCTGATATGTGTGTGTGTGTGTGTTGTGCAGGGCTCGCCGTGACTACTGGGAGAAGCTGAAGCCGGCGTCTGGTCGTCCACTCTGCCCCTCCATGTCCACTCCAGACGGTTGGGGGGTCACCAGGGGTCACGCGGCCCTCATGCAGCAGAAGGAGGCCACCACGGCGGAGCAGCTGCGGCCACTGTTCCAGCAGGCGGACGCTAAACACTGAGACACACTGAGGAGACCAGAGAATTTACATGATCAACACCTCTGTTTACTGCAGCCGCACACACACACAGACAGAGAGAGCTCTGGAGAAACACACACACACACACCTGCGCCGCTGTTCTCCATGTGCCTGCCCTGATGTGGTGTTGAAGCGGCACAGCTGCATTCCAGATGTTCACAGCACTCCAGTGTTTACATTCTGATGATCAATAAACCATCATCATCAATATCTGTCGATCAGTGTCTGTTATTGATCAATCAGCAGCGAATGTGTGAAGCATTGTCTTTATTAACATAGGGAAGAATTGAGGACGGGTCACTGAGTTATTCGAGAGTAACACATCTGAAGTGGTGATGTGGTCAAGCGGAGTGTCTGTTAAGAGTCAGGTGTGTATCATTAATGAATAAGTCAATTACTCCACTTATACTGCTCATAGTAAGTATTATCTGCTAATAAATCAACAGACAGGAGTCAATTAATCTGCTTTAATGACTAATATTGTGCATTAATTTCTGCTTTACTTCCTAATAATTCAACAAAGCGGTGTCAGTTATTCTGCTTATACTACTTTTACTGTGCATTAGTGTCTAATATTTCAACAAACCAAAGTCAACGCTTATATTAATTATTCTGTGCATTCTTTTCTAATAATTCAACAAATATGAGTCAATTTATACTACTTACATGTGTATTAATGTCTTGTAATTTAACACACAGGAGTTAATTATTCCAGTTATAGTTCTTAAAGTTTGTATTAGTTTCCAATAATTCAACAAACCGGAGTCAATTAATCTGCTTAAATTAATTACACTGTGCATTCTTTTCTAATAATTCAACAAACTGGAGTCAATTATTCCACTTATACTATAAATACTGGATTATTTATTAATAATTTAACAAACCAGACTCAATTTATCTGCTTATATTAATTATACTGTGCATTCTTTTTAAATATTTTAACAAACTGTAGTCAAATATTCCCCTTATACTATTTACATGTGGATTATTTCCTAAAATGTAAGAAACCAGAGTCAATTATATGCATTATTCTGTGTATTATTGTCTAATAATTCAACAAACTAGAGTCAATCGTCTACTTATACTACTAATAGTCTGCATTAATTTCTAATTTACGACAACAAACGGTAGTCAATTATTCCAAATGTACTATTAATACTGTTATTTTCTAATAATTCAACAGACCAGTGTCAATTATGCAGCTCATACTACTTAAACTGTGCATTATTGTGTAATAATTTAACACACAGGAGTCAATTATTCCACTTACAGTGTTTAAATTGTGCATTAGTTTCCAATAATTCACCAAACCAGACTCAATTCATTTGCTTATATTGACACTGTGCATTATTTTTTATTACTGTAACAAACTGGAGTCAATTATTCCACTTATACTATTAATAATGTATTATTTACTAATATTTTAACAAACCGGAGTCAATTAACCTGCTTATGAAAAATAATGCACATGTAAATAGTTTAATTCAAGAAACCGGAGTCAATTATTCCACATATAGCAGTGAAGTGTGCAGTTTTCTGTGTATGATTGTTTAATAATTCAGGATACAGGAGACAATTATTCCACTTACAGTACTTAAAGTGTGTATTATTAATCTGCTTATACTATTTACATGCGCATTATTCTGTGCATTATTGTCTAATAATTAAACAGGCATGAGTCAATTAATCTGCTTACACTAATAGACTGTATTATTTTCTAATAATTCAACAAACTGGAGTCTATTATTCTACTTATACTATTAATACTGCATTATTTAATATTTAAGCAAACTGGCGTCAATTCATCGGCTTATACTATCTACATGTGCAGTATTATCTTATTATTCAACAGACAGGAATCAATTATTCCACTTAAACTGCTCAGTGTGTGTTATTTATTAATAATTCAACACACTAGAGTCAATTAATCTGCCTAGACTACTTTAACTGTGCGTTATGTTCTAATATACAACAGATCTGAGTCAATTATTCCACCGATACTAACTTTACTGTGTTATAATCTAATAATTCAACAGACCAGAGTCAATTATTAGAGTTATAATAAGCTGAGAATGCTCTGTTCACACACACACACACACACACACACACACACACACACAGCTCCGGCTCCACAGACAGGGTTTAGTCTAAGCCAGGATTAAGTCAGGCTCAACTACAGGAGATTTAAGAAACTTTGAGACAAAACAGCTCAGAAAATGAAAAGACTCAGCCAGAGGAAGCGCGTCTCTCATCATATATCAGTGTGACGGCCTGTGTTTGATCTGTTTACTTTCCTTTATAAATGTCAGTGTGTGTTTACAGTGTCCAGTGCACTGGCAAGTGTCAAAATACTTGAGTATTTGTTAAATTAGATCACAGGTGTCAAACTCAGTTCCTGGAGGGCCGCAGCTCTGCACAGTTTAGCTCCAGCTCTAATTAAACACACCTGATCA